ACCAGAATAAATATTAATTCTATTGTAACCAAAAGTGAATTTCGGTTTAGTTTTTCTTTCTTAAATTTCATATTCTCATAAATGAGATGTGAGAACTGAACAAATAAGACTGAATGAACTATCATAACTGATTTTCATCATTCCTTTTCTATGAGTAATTATAGTTAACAGTATCTTTATAAAAATCTACTTCAGAAAACATGCTTGCATGCTCATTGCTTGTTCATTTTGACAGTGTCCCTTTAAGGGGGACACAAGGAATCTAAACTGCTTCATTGTGGGTCCCTCTGCCAAATACCATGCATACAGAGTTGAAAACAAAAAAATTAAAAGGTTACTTGAAGATGTGAAGTTATCTATTTTCATATTTGTAGTACTTGGCTATATTTTATTAAAAAATACAATTTTGTATTTTAGAAAGTGAAGTATAACACAACATATAGGTCTTTACCCTTGATTAACTTGGTTTAAGGTTATGAATGCAGGACCATGACTAGGAAAAGTGCTAATGCTTGTAACAGGAAATGACTTATCTGATTTAGAAAGGGACTTTTTCATTACCTCTAAGTATTTCAGATCTCATTAACTACTTTGTTATATTTTTCTGATATTTGTATCTCATTTCCTGGAGTTACATATAAACACATAATCAGATGGACACCTTCCACGAAGATTTCACCGAGAGCTGAATGTAGGAAACACGTAGGTTTTTCTTGTTATTTGAATAATATATAAAGTGAAACTTGTTATACTTATTTTTTTTTCGTAATAACCTTATCAAAGCACATCTAAAACCTACCTTGGGCTTGAACGCAATCAGTTTCAAAACCATTTCAACAGTGAACACTCCTGTGAAAACCATATTCATAATGTCCATTGCATCATTAAAGAGCTTTGACTGTCCATAGTGCTGTGAATGAAAAATATGACACTTTTAAAAGTGAAGGATTGTAAATATTAAATGCAAATAGGATATAATAGGACACAGTTGGCAAAACTGCAGTCCAGGAAGATTATTTCCCTTGGTATTTATTATGGAGGCTTATATGCATGATGACTAATTGAATAGTGCTGGTCAATAAATGGAGTTATCTAAAATTGTTTCTATTAAGATACTTAGTTGAACAAATTTGCCGTTCCTCCACATACAAAGAGGATCTCCAGAGGTGGTTTTGAGAAGAAAACTCGTCCCTCAAAAATAGGGTATTAACAATCCCATGTTGTCTATGATACACTTAAAAATTTTTAACTTTGTGTTGCACTTATTCAGAAAGCCTGCAGTATGTTAGTCAAAGAATAATTTGTATTGTGTAGTAATGATATTTTTAAGGGATAGAGCTCCCACAAGCTCACAAAAAAAGCTAGCAGAATTAAGCTATTTTTTTTCTTATTAAAATCTAAAGTATTGGGGGAAAAGAAAGAACTGCAAAAAGCAGATTGGGAAAGTGGTCAAAGATAGAGCATGTGTAGTGCTGAAAAAAACAAAAAGCGAAAATTAAATATATATACACACAGAAAAAACATACATGCAAAATATGCTCATATATATACAATGAATATATGAAGAGAGATATTTGTATGAGATTAGCATTATCATATAGTTGTAAAATTTTTCTGCAAATAGTTTTAAGTTTCTGAAGAAGATACAAACACTAGAGGTATAAAGATGGTATGCTACATATACAAAAAAACACAGAACGAGTACAAAAGTTACAAGGAGGTGAGGTAATTCTTAAATGCATTATGTAAAAGATGCATTATGTATTAGATAAAAGATCTAATTCACTAGAAATCACAGAAATGTTTGTTCACAAAACCAAACGTTTATATGCTTTTTAGATTTCCTTGCACATGCATGGTCTTGGGAATACACAAATGGAAATTATGTTATGCTGCAGTATGGCATAAAAAGCTTGATTTTAACATAGTTAAATCCAAAAAGAAATATTTCTACACAGTACTTTTTAGTGCAAATAAAGCATTTAACCAAACAAGTGGCATTAAAAGTATCTTCCAAAGGACACTTGGGCAAATATTGATGTTTCACATTTTTGAACATACAGGTCAGAGTACAATGTTACCCTTTGTATATTCAGTGGTCTTTCTATAGGAAAGGACTGTGGAATCCTGCATGAAGTTACTCTCTCCATTAATTGCTTTCAAACACTGACTGATGCATTTCACCTTCAGCTGCCCAATATTATTTTGAGATTTTATTAGTATGCACTAATTATAGTGTTTTCTTTATTGTACATTATTAATAAGTATAATCAATTACTATTTTGATCTATCATTAATAACGCAACTGCAGAGCATGACTGGGGAGCAGTATTGTGGGGGAGCATTATATACATAGAGAGAGAAACTTTGACAGAACTGTAAAAACTAGCCTGTTCAAATCTTTGAAGCTTATCTAGTTTTCAGGATACCTCTCCTGTACTTCACCCTTTTATCTCCAGCTGCTTCATCAGCTATCTCTGATCTACCATCCAAAGGAAAATAACCTTAGAAATAGCAAAAGCTTAGAAAAAGAATAGCACCCAGTAATTTTCCTTTGGAATGCTGTCATGAGGGAAGCAAGTGAAGGGAGGGAATCTTTTCTCATTCCCGCAATTCCTGTTAGGAAAACCTTTATTAACATCAAGCAGTATTTAGGAATTCTACTTAACAGAGCTAATACATAGATTGGAACATGTCATAGAAGAGTACTATGACCAGAGCGATTTGTTGTTGTTTAATTTTTCTCTACACTTCAACGGAATAAAAAATTAGATGTTGTCATAAATTAAAGGCACTCTATCTCCCATATTCTTCCTTGCAGTTCATCTCAAAGGCTTCAAAAACTCCTCTGGTTTTCCTACCTGCATAGCCAAGCAAAGTGTGTTCAGCATGATGAGGACAAACATGATATATTCAAATCCAGTAGAGTTCACCACATACCAGAACTTGTACTGGTAAGGATTTTTTGGAATATATCTACGAAGAGGGCGGGCTTTCAAGGCATATTCTACACACTGACGCTGTAAAAAGTAAACACATCAAAAATGATTAGACTGTACATAACAGTGGATCATTATAAAATATTGCTTATGATAAGTATAAACTGTTAAATAGAAGTCTGGAAAACAGGCAGTCTATCTACTTCGTAGAATTTTTTTTTTTTTAAGTATTAATCAAATAGCTTTCTAATTCTGACTTGGTCATTTACAACTGCAGCTAACCATGTGCACTGCTTCTCCACATACCAAGAAGTCAAATAATGTGCATGGAAATTCTGAAATGTTCCCTTCATATAGTGTAGTAGTACACTATAAACTGTGTGCATGCATATGTCTATGTGAGTGTATATATGTATAGTGTATATAGGATAGACATATTCTGTAGCATGGATATTACTCATCAGGGTGCTATTCAGCCATCCTAACTCTAATGAATTACTTAGAATTAATTCCAAAGAATCTTAGCTAAATAATAAAGATGAGTTAATAAAGCGATCTATATGCCATGCTTTGCCTTTACTCAATTTTCAATCACATATGTAGTAGCACAGCATAAAACCATGTACTCAGAAAATAAATACTGGATGAGTGTTATGAATAACTGTTAAATTGACCAATAAAATCATGTTATAGAGATGGAAATTTCATGGATTCACCTCCAACTCTTACAGGTGTTTGAAATCAAAGAGGATGGGTCTTTCCCTTTGCTTTTGAAGGATGCTTACATAAGCTACTGGTAGATCACAAACTGAAGTATGAATGCTACTCAAAGTTTCATGGTTAACTTCATTTAAATATGTGTTACAATAGAATATGAATACCTGAAAGATCATGACCTGACTCATGAGCTTGAGTCAAAGGATTAAATAAAAAGTCCACAATTTATTTAGACCTGAATATAAACCATGATATAATTTTCTTTATAAATACAGAAAAAAAGCATAAATATCTGCTTTGAACATTTTCCTTAGTATTGGATAAATATTAGGAAGGTAGTATTTATATTTCTATCTTACTGTAAAAATACATAACACCCTTCATAAAAAAAATAAAATAAAATCACGGCTGATAGGTTAGGCTTATAGAGAGAGCAACATAGTGACTTGTAGACTTATTGGCAGTAGTATTTACTTGCTGTTTCATTTGCTAAGATATCTGCTTGGTGCCCTCTTCTGACCCAAGGCAGAAAGGAAGCTCTTCATGCACAAACAAACAAGGATACTTTCAAAAATTAGAGAGTTCATTATTTATTTTAACCTGATTTTTGTCCAGCTCACAGTTCTTATATTCTTGCTCTCCCTGTTCTTGGAATGTAACAATGACAAAACCAACAAATATGTTCATCATAAAAAAAGCAATAATGATGATATAGATGATGAAAAAAATGGAGATCTCCACTCTGTAATTGTATACAGGTCCTACGTTCTCGCCATTTGAGTCAATGGCTTTGTACAGCAGCCTGAAAAAGAAAAAGTGTAACTTTATTATCATAAAAATGGCAAAAGACAGTAAAACATACCAATTCAGAAGATGAATTTTAGGAAGGGCCTATTCTTTTACAATTTTTGTAGTACAGTTTTTACTCAAAGGCTAAAATTTTCAGAATAAACATCTAAATGTATTACTTCCAATTAGAGCTGAAGAACAGTCCATCAAAAGTAGTTGAAAGATTAGGAATCAAACAATATAACACTAAAGAGTAGATGGATTTTAACAGGTACACACACAGAAAAAAGACAATACAAATCCAGAAACCATATAGTGCTTTTATGTTATCCTCTGTGGCACTCAGATTTTAAATTGATTTTACTGGCAAAAGGACGCTTCAATGATGAGCATTGTCAGTATTCAGTTTAACTAATATGCACTAATCTTGAGTCTCAACAGGGATACTTGGCATACTTGGTCTATTCTGTATCCATAGTGAAATTCCAAAATATAAAATGAAGACTGAAGTCTCATATTGTTGAATTCCTGAATCCAATATTGCTCACTCACTGCTCCATTACACACCACAAAGGCAACGAATTGCTGAAATACAATTGCAGGAAAAGTGCATAAAGACTTTATAAAAGAGCACTAAATTCACAATGATTATATGCTTTTTTCTCTTCCTCCATTAATAAGTTTTTAATGTCATCAATAAAGACTATTTTGCTCTCCAAGGAAGCCTGGTAAATTAGAGAGAACTGTTCTGGAAAATGTAACTGGGTTAATAATGCCATGAACACAAGGAGAATTCACTCACGCTGGCCAGCCTTCAAAAGTAGATACTGTAAATAGAGCCATCATTGCAGACAGAACATTGTCAAAGTTGAAATCACTGTTTTGCCAGACCCTCTCTTTGACCATTGGATTATCAACATCTCCATCTTTATAAACAATATATATCCCCCTGTGGGAAAGGGAAAGAAACAAACTGTGATTAGTGAAATATTAAGAGTAGCCTCAGAGTTATTACATCTTCTTATTCAGAATAGCTGATTTTATGCCATCACTTGTTTTTTTTTTAATTCCCTTGATAACCTTGGCTGATCACTTTATGTTTTAGTTTACTGTTGGATTTTAAGATGATTATTCAATGGCTTGAGACATGCCAGCCCAACTGCTACAGTTTAAACTATTATGTGCAACATTCATAAATCAAAGGAATTCTTACCGACATTCCTCAGGATTCTGTTTTGCCTCATCAGTGCACTTATAGAATTTTCCCTGCATATAAAACAACAACAAAAAAAGGTAAAAATGCAGAACATATAAAATAAACACATTTATTCTATGACAGGTTCAAAACAGAACCAGCCCTAGCAGCACCAAATCACCAAGAAGTCTTTGAGCTTTGTTGTTCTTGATGCAATGTAAATTGTGAGTCTATTTACCTTGAACAACTGCACTCCAATACAAGCAAACATGAACTGCAACAGAGTTGTAACAATCATGATATTACCAATAGTTCTAATGGCCACAAAGACGCATTGAACAACATGCTGCAAAAAAAGAAAAACAGGTTCAAACACAAGTTTTAGTAGTATCATTAAATACATACCATAAGAGTATAAACACATATTCTTACACAGAGTATTTTTTTTAAATAACTATTTGAGTTATGACAGTTTTATAGCTAGACTTATTTTCTATTTTTTTCAGATGTCTGTTGAAATATACCCATTAACATCCACTGATTAAAAATTACAAATGCACAGTGGAGCAACAATAAAAATATGGCTCTGACACATTGGCTCACACCAAGTGCAATGCCCCAAACATGTGCTCAGGGGCAAGCCACACAAATTTTTGTAACTGTGGATAGAATCTGGCCTAGCATGCTTCAGAATCAGGAACTAACTTCTAGCCTTGCCCTATGATCTCTTTTTCAGTATGCTTTTTAGCCTGAGGCAAGACTGAAGAGACAGGCCAAAGTAAATAAAAATTAGAAAAAGATAAAAGTAAAAACCTTAAGTCCTTTTGCTCTGTTTATCGCTCTTAGAGGCCTCAAGACTCTTAAAACTCTGAGGATCTTCACAACTGAGATAGCGCTTGATCTAAGGAAAAAAGAAAATTTATTTGGTTACTTTTCAGTGGACATTCAAATTCAGGAAAGTCTTAAAATTTTTGAAGTCCTTCTTTACTGATCTTTTATTAATATTAAAAAATACTATTAATCTTGTAATATTGTAAGACTGATTTTGATTTCTGGAGCAACTTGGGAATTAACAGCTCAAAGGCTTGTCCGATACTGTAATGCAGTTAAGTTAGGTCACAAGCAAAATACTTGTTTTTTTTTCAGTGCTGACAAGTCTATCAAAGACATAACGCAAGCCCTGTAAAGCAATGAATGCCTTAATTTCTAATCAAATAAAGACGAAAAGATCTCAAATGACTCATACGTTCTTTGTTTAAGTAGCTAGGCCTGCATTTTGAGAAGAAATAATAGCAGATGGCCTTTTAAAGAACATACTGCAAAATTGAAAGCTTGCATAATAGGTGTTCTAGTACAAGTACAATACAAATTGGGAAACAGCTGACTGACACTCGAGGAAGAACTGCTCCTTTAGCGAATCAGTAAGCACCTTTATACTCTTAGATTATCATGCTTTGCCTGATCGAAAAAAAAATAGCTACCAGTCACATAATCAATTCTGATAATAGTATAAATTTTCCCCCCTTCAAATATTGTCAGGTTATATACCACATCATAGCAATGCAGAACGCACTTAGGTTCTTTGAAGTGGATTGTACGTTTGGCGGTAGCAAAAAAGAGGGAATCTCAGCCTCCTGAAAATCCAGGAATTACTTGCTATACAGTACAGAGACATGGTATTCTTCCATGTTCTCTTGGTAAAAGGGCATAGTAGTAATTTGTTTCCAATCTGTAGTATTAATGAGCTACAACACTCTCCATATAAAGCACATCTCTTCCCATTCCCAATGCAAAATACTGCACTTGCACCCCTACATAGAACAGGGAATAAAAGAAGCTGAAAGACCAAGCTAACTTTAAAACCCCAAAGTAAAAAAAAAAAAAAAAAAATCACATTACAATTATCATACTTACTGAATACCAAAGGATACCAGTGAAACACCCACAACCAGCAAATCCAGCAGATTAAAATAATTCCTGCAGAAGGACCCTTTATGAAGGAATGCTCCAAAAGCTGTCATCTAAAAGAAGAATTATTACACATTTATTCTCTATCTATATTAATTGAAATTCACATTTAGGCTGTTTACAAGACACTTGCCTAGAGTGTGAATATGTACAATAGTATCTCACCTTGCAATTAAGATACAAAACAATTCCACTATATACATAGGTAAGTTTCATCTAACTAAACAGTCTACATGTTCAAACAATGTTGTTTTGTTTCAGATATCAATAAACTAGTTATTCTTTTGTTTAAGAACTGATTAGGCTGAGCTGTTTGAGTCTTTGTTAGAAAAATGACTAGCGGAACCATAAAACTTCCAAGCTTACTGAAATACTAAAATTTAGGAACAGATTCTGGCTCCTGATGTTTGTATGATCTTTGGAAGCAGCTGAAGAGCTACTCCAACAACCTGAGAGCAAAATCTGGTGTGAGTTCAGTTCAGGCACATGGATTCGAATATCTCCAGCTTTAAGTGCATTTTAAGAAGAGCTGAGTCCTCTCAGCTACTTGTTTTCCAGAGCTAACTAACTCAATAGCACTCAGAAAATCTCATATCAACTGAATAATGAAATAATAAAGGGCAGAAAAGATCTCAAAGGGATATATTGTTCTGTGATTCCTGACATATAATTTAGCTAAAATTTCCACTTTAGACAATCAAGATCAGTCTTACTAGCTTTGCCATTAAAAAAGCTCATTTTTTTTCCCAAAAACTTTCTCTAAATCTCCTCTGCGTCTTTGAAGCCTGTTACTGCTTCAACTTTTCTCTCCTGCAATACATATAATAAAATTTCCAATTGTTGCCTCTTACTGCCTTATAGAAGATGGCTACAATTCTGAAGGCAAGTGCCTAGCATTCATTAAAACTGGTGGAAGTTAAAGATCAAAATAATCTTGAATAACACACCTACAATTATTCATTTATACTGTATGTGATCAGTTAATTGTATGTAAATTTCAATGTATAGATGCTCACAAATGCTAGGATACACTGAACTAAAAGTACAGGTGAAATTTTTATTTCCATGCATTCATATGGTTATTCATGCTTTAATTATTATAAATCACATATATAGCATCTGACTAAAAGTCTGCTACAACAAAATCATTCTAACTGTCCTACTGATCAAAGGACAAAACCAAGTCCTAGCCCACACCTGATATGGTGAGTGGTGTTACAGCCTTCAGTGGAGTAGATGCTGGAGAACCCTCCCTGCCTCACAGCTGTGGATGCACCAATACTGCTCTTTTCCTTATGACCACAATTCCACTTGAGTGGGGGCTGCTTTACGTGGTTGGAGATTATCACAGCTTGTGCAAGGTTAAAAGCATAAGGCCCTAACCTGACCTTCACTTGGATGTTCTCACATTTCCCAAGTACTGCACACAAGACAGTAAGCTGGATTTAAAAGCCATCTATGAGTTATGTAACAGAATTCTGAAGTGCTTTAAATTGCTATTGCAGCTTTTCTGTTATTCATATTCTAATTCGTACCCTGACCCCCGCCATATGAAAATCCTCATGCCTACAGAACAGCAAATAAAATACAGCATAGAGAGACTGTTTAGATGTCGTGTTGTTTTGTTTTGATGCTTGCTTTTTGGACATTTACAAGTTTTCTCCCAGCAGCTGACAATACTGCCTCTGGTTATTTAAATACAATTCCACACACTTTTTGTCTTGAATTTTAGGAAAGCTGGTGTCACTACATATCTAGTGCCACTACACATCTAGCCTTGAATTTCTTCCTTGAAGAACACACACAACTTCCATAAGCCCAGGTACTGTGGAAAGCACAGCACAAAACCCAACACAATCAAGGACTTCAGCCATAAGCGAGCAAAGCCAGTGTCTCAAACATTAGTAAAGCAGATTAACTTCCTGTGGTAGGGTTAATTTTCCTCCATAGACACGTATGACTGCTGAGCTTCCTAGACCAAGCAGTCAGGAGCACCAACACTTTTGGCTATGGTGGTGCTTCCTGTTTCTTTGTATTATTTTACAGTGTCAAATTTCAGTAGCCTCCACTCTAATCTTTCTACCTTCCTTGAATAATTTTGAGTTACTTGATGTTAGAATCCTTTACAGTTTGCAGGTATGTTTTCTATACAGTTACAGCTTGTGCCACCCTTAACTCCCCTGGCTGCTTCACAAACACAACTGGAACTTCAGGGGCTCAGAAGAGGCAGATGTCCTGACCCTCCTGCCACAGCAGTGGCAGGATCTGGTATAGCTTCTCAAACGCAGAGCTGGGAACTAGTTTAACCCAACAGTACTTCATTCCTTTTAGTACTTCATTCTTTCCTTTAGTTTGGCCATTCTCTAGCTGAATGCTTATTCTAGAATAACACTAAGGCCAAAGATTAAATAAGTCCTTAGAAAACTCCTCACACGGGAAAAGAGAAATAAGGGCATAACACAAGATAGATGTAAGCTTGCAAGCATAAAAATAGTTTACAATTGATAGTACAGCTTATCTTGTAAACAGCCCAAATATTGCTTTAATTAGTATTAATCAAACCACACTGTGAAGAATATGCATAGCAATATGAGCAAAAGCTGGGAAAAGAGTTTTTGTTAAGCTTAATTCTCAACAGGAAATGCAAAGTTTATGTACAGATTCTTGGTGTATTAGAAATTTGTAAATATATATACTAGGGTTACTCAACCAAAAATTCACGGCACGTTTGTACTGCATGAAACTTTTAATAAACACATGTAGATCTCTGAAAAAAAAGTATTTCACCTGTTTTCAAAAAAATTTGATTTTGTCCTGCATTTTCCCATATGTGAACCTAAACCTCAGTTATATGGCTACTTTGCCAGAGTAAGCCTCATACAGCCCAAGTGTGAGTAACCCCAATGGGTATACTTAATAATCAGTACACAAACTATACATTAAAATGCCAGTTTTGGACTCATGCATGGGTAATACATTTAAGCAAGCATATTTATGCCTTTCTGTGTAGTTAAATGTATGCCCAAGTTAAGATCAATGCAAAGTATCTTAGTATATAGATAAACGCAAGATATCTTGCAAGTCCTATTGCAAGAAAATAGTTATCTACTATTTTAGCTCTATGAGTATAGTTCAGCAAGAGTAATGAGAAGTTACATGCTCCCTTCTGAAAAGACTGATTATCTTTTTTGGAAATGCCAGAGCAGGGAAGAGGAAAAGCTCATGCGCAGTGAATAACTTTTCCCTTTTCTGACAACTGTTCAGTTTAAAAAGGGTAAAAAGTGAGTTGATGATACAAAAATCAGCTTCTACATGCACCCAATGGTAAAAAAATGACCAATAAAAATTATGAGAAACTGTCAAATTAAAAAAAAACAATCCTTTGGTTTAAAAAAAGTTTGGCTTTGATCATTTAGAGAAAAGGCGAAGAAAACTTTGAGTGCCTTTTCTTGGCAGGTGACACACAAGGAAAATCCTTTTAAACAAACTTCCTTTAAAAACCTGTTACCTTCAAAATGATCTCAAATGTAAACATACTAGTGAAGACATAATCTGCATACCCTAGGATCTGGAAGGTAAACAAAAAGTTACAAACATTATTGCTAAAGCTGCTTTTGCGCTAACAAGGATCAATTAACAATGCATTACCTTTAACAGGATTTCAACAGTAAAGATGGCTGTGAAAGCATAGTCAAAGTAACCAAGTATCTGCAAGGTATAATATGTGCCAGAGTAAGAAATTCATCTATGAATCAATTTATACAGTTTAGACCACAAACAAAAACTAATACATCTAAGTAGGCAGATAGGGAATTCAGACAATTTAGTTTAAACTTCCAGATGTTGTACAACCATTTTTGTTTACTTAAAAAAATTATCAGATGCCGCTGTGCTTAGATATAAGATTTCTGCACCAAGAGGTTAACAGTACCCAATAGGCAAAATTTTCTTTCAACTCAGATTTTCTTCCATCAGCTTTCACAGGAACTTTCTTCACTTTTAGCAAAGATGGAGAATCTTCCACAAAGAAAAACTGCTTATTAGTAACAGCTTTTTTTTATCACAAAAATGCATCAAAAATTAAATTTCTGTGGATGTTTCTAGACACTACATCTGTCTACTTTCTGCTGCATTATACTGTTCCTGCCTAGATTTGGCTTCAGTGTCACAAAGCAGATAATGAATAAACACATTATTTGAGACAAATCCTACAGCTAGTTTTTCCTGAAAATTGAAGTGATTTATTGGTTGAAGATTTAAAAGAATCAATAATAGTTGCATGGTGATATGCAAACTTTTAAAAACGATCTACAGTTGATATCTACTTTACTGCTGTCGGTAGAAACACACTGCTGTCTATATTTATGTTGAACCAGAATCTCACCCTTTCAAGGTTGTAGTACTGTTAGTACCTAATTTAGTGCACACCATATAGTGCAGTGGTGTACTAGCTTTATTTTCAAGGGAAGTACTCTACCAAAGAGCTCTGCACAGAAACATCACATGTGCAGTTTAACAGAGAATTAAATGTGAAAGAGAAATAAGACAATGGACAACAGACAGCAAAAAGTGTTTCAAATGCATGAAATTTTTTTCTCCTCATGAAGATCACATCCTTTGGTGTCTTGCTGAAAAAAAACAGGTAAATATTAAAATCATTCAGTAGAGATCAATCAGGATGGAATTCATTTTAAAATAAATATTCAAAGAAAACATTCAAAACCATTCCAGCTTCTAAATCTGTTTTGTTCACTCCTGTTCTGTGTGAATGAATTTACCAGAGAAATGATGTTGAAACTAAGAGACTCCTCAAGACGGGTACCACCATGTTCAGCAGTGTGTTCAGCACAGTGGGATTTGGGCTGTGGCCAGCAGCTTACCATGGTAGGATGGCTGCAAACAACACAATCTTCTGTGAAGAACACAGCATATTCAGCATGAAAAGCCCAAGATTCTACACAGTGACTCGTAGGAGTAACTCCTGCTGTTAGCAGGAAGCAGGGATTTTTACAGAACAGATCACATCTGGAATAAGCAGAACCAACTCTTGCAGAGACAGACCAGCCAACTGTTGACATCAAACTTGCCACTATTTTTGAGCCTTCCAGCTTCCAACTCAAGATCACCTCTAAACTCTGCCCACTGCCATTCCACAGCAAACTCTCTCCCTTGCCGAAATGGTCAGCTGAAGAAACCATGATCACTCCAAGTAAAGATAAGAAAAATATGAAAGTCTAGTGCATTTGTGAACATCCTTAGCAAAGGCTCTTTCTTTCTTGAAATCACTCCTACATTTAACGTGTCTGCATCACAAATAAAAACAAACACTTCCGTTACTACCACTCTGGAGTTAAATACTCATAGAATTCTTCTAGTTATGAAGAAGTAGTATCAGCTCTTCAAGTCATACAATAACAATTGCTTTTCACCCTTTAAGAAAGTTTTCACTTTTTGACATTTAGTGTTGCTAGTGAACAATGCCCAAAGAGGAGTGCAGATGTTTACTTATCACACCAACTACTCTTTTACTGAAATAAACACATTTCTCAAATTGATATTCTCATACAAACATTTAATTTCTACAACTATATTTGTATAGAGGGATGCAGAAGCGCTTCTAAACTTTCAAGTCCGTATATAGACTGAAACTGCATTTTGACTCTGTAGGACCTTGTGCCCAGCAAGAGTGGAGTATGCTCTGATTCTCCTCCCATGCACAAGTTCAAACAGAATGGAAACTTGACTTGTTTGATTTATACAGCCATCAATTCAGGATGGTCAGGCATGCTGTGGTACTAAAATAGCAGTGTGGGTGCATCTTAATCTACTACAGATCTAAGTATTTACAGTACTGTGGAGTAAAAAATAAAAAATAATTTTTTAAAAAAGGAATATGATATTCACAGCACCAGACACTGGGAAAACTAATTGTGCTCTCCTCTTTGAAAGGAGAGACGATATCCTTACAAAGACATACACTTTCTATCTGAGCTCCTCAAGATCAGGTAATAGAAGTAGTGATGGAGAAGAAAGCACAAGCCAAAGACAACTCCCAATATGTTATAAATTGATATTTTTACTATTGCTTTTAAATCAGTGTCAAACATTGATAAGCAGGAAGAATGACTCAGAAAATGCACAGCAGGAACAGCCAGCTGCAAAAATTATGCTCAGTTGGAGCATAATTTTATGCTCAGTCATAATTTTATTCTGTTATCTTAATATGCAACATAGAAAAAAAGTTCTGCAGACAATAAATGGTAGATGGTTCTAATATCTCTGCCGCTTCAGCAATAAAGTTACCTTTCTTTAGAGATCTAGTGGAGTTTAGTTGGGCTTTTTTGTTTTGTTTTCAGCAAAATATATAAATTTATGACTCAAAAAAGGAGAAGGAAAGTTTCTTACTTTGAAACTAAAAACCAGGCACTAATTCTGAGACTTGTTACTGTGTGAGGATACATTTATCTTCAGATATAAAAATGACAGACTTACATTATTTCGAAAAGAGTGGCTGCGAATTGGATCTTCTGCTGCTAGGGAAACACTGCTCAGCATGATGAAGACAAGGATGAGATTAGTAAAGATGTGATGATTGATGAGCCTGTGACATCCCACTCGAATTCTGAAAAAGAGATACAAAAATACATGCATACATGCCAAAAAAAAAAAGTAGATGGATTTTATACAAAATGTTTCCTATTGCTCTGCCAACAATGACAGAAGAGAGCAATTATCAGTTAAAAGCAGGGTAAACACTATTGCCCTGGCTTCTGAAAATGTAAATGATTCACACGTTGTGAAGGTGGACTTACTGAAGGAGCTCAGGAGAGAGAACCTCACAGCTCCTATTGGTTTTCAGTGCCTTATGAACTGTTATTCTTGTTGCTCCACAAAAAATATCTTCTTAGTGCTACTAGGAATCCTATGTTATGTAAAGAACGCTCAAATCTTACCTCGTGCTGTTTAATTACACAGGGCTACCACACTATATAATTAATATAACACATTAAATGGTATTTTCAGATATTTGCAGGCCTGACAGACTATGTGCAAAATAACCTAATAATCAGGAAAACCAATCTCTCTGCTTTTGAGGACTTTGGAGTTCTACCCATAACCTCACCGAGAGCCTGTCCCTTTCTTCAGTGCTGAACCCCAAGGGGCTAAATAAGTACTTTGATAAACGATACGTACGGATTGGTGCTGCTGAAGATGAAGAAGGCACTCCCTTCAGGAATCGGGGTTATCTTCTCCTTCATATTTAGTTCCGAAATTCTTCGGGGACGTGGGCCTGCTGGTACCTCTGGTTCATCCTCCTCATCTTCCTCATCTTCACCTACTTTAAATTAAACATTGTTTTTACTATAAAATAAAAAAGATTGAGTTTTTGTTCATAACAGTATAAAAACATGACTTGTATTAAAATATATGTATATAGCATGACTTTAAAGATGTATGACTCAGTATCCATATAGTTGTCATGAACTTATTTACTTACATTATATATATCTATATATATGGGTGAGTATGTCAGTATATATTTGATTTAATATTAGGATCTCTGGAATGCTCCTTTTAACCAAACATATGCAAGAAATTTATAAATATTCTCACATACAGGTAAGTTCAATCACAACAGTCTTCAGGCTTACGGTATTAAATCCCTTACACTGTTTGTACTGCCTAGTGAGCTGCAGAAAAATATAGTATTTTGCGTCTTACAGGCCCAGGTACAACATCACTGACTTCAAAGGAATTAATTCAGAATTTAGTGAGATTAAGCTTAGCATGTTTCAGCAGACAAATGTTTGTTTTCTGGCTGGTAGGTCCCATACCTGGTACATCACAGGGTGGATAGGGATCTTTATCCTCATCCTCTCCTTCTCCATATTCAGCAATTGTCACCTATGGCAATGAAAGAAACACATCAAAAGAAAAAATACATTTCAATATAGCTGGAAGTAAAAAGTAATCCCCTTGTTTACTCTCTGAGATTCTCAACACAAGATAATTGAGAGAATGGAGAAGAGTTGACATTTCAATATATATATTTTTAAAAGATTAATTATTTAAATAATTCTTATGGCTGTGTAGATTACACCAAGAATATAACTAACAAGCTTATTTGGAAATTACCTAGAACATTTAAATAAATCTATAACAAGTTTATCATTCATTAATCTCTTCCATTAGATTTTTTGGCCAAAACGCAAACAGAGCTCTTAAGGTTATGTCAAATATGCCCAACATTAATTACTCCATACTCTAAAAGCTCTTCTTTTCAATATTCTTTGATTCTTTGAAACCAAAAGGTTAAGAGATTCTTTGAGGATATAAACTACCAGAATAAGTTTCCTGAGCATTGCCTGAGGGGAAAAAAAAAAATCCTTTCTTTTATTTCTTTTACGGAATTCTTTTATGAATCCATCTAAGTGCACTGTAGACTTAAAGTCTTCCTTAGCGGAATTACCAAAACAGCGTCTTAACTAAGATACAGTTTTTAAAATAAACACCTTACTATCCTTGGGTTTCTTCTGATCGCTTTCTGACTTCTCACTTTTTTTATTTTCCAGACTCTCTTTTCTACAAAAGAAGCACAGTAGATTAAGACAGATTAAGTGACCTACACCATTTCATGAAAAAAAATATATAGTTAAGTATCTTAAGTGATTTGAAATGTGGTAAATACAAGAGCAATAAAATTCACAGCATTTGAATGCACTTGATCCATTTAAAACATTATCATTTTGACTGAAATTCCAGAAGTTAATCCTCCCAAAAATGTGGGGATACAGACAGATACAGGACAGTTGGACAGATACAAATAAATTGTATTGATTTCAATAGGTCAGGACTCATTTTAAATGAAGGTTTTCTTCTTTTCTACATAAGGCTTATATGATAAATTCCCAGGGAGTGTGCACCAGCAACAAAATATCTTGCACAATTAGAGCAAGAATGTAAAGTCCTACCATTGCCATGTGAAAATATCACCTGGCTTGTCATTATGTCCTTTATTCCTACTATTTTCCCACTTACTAGCCAATCTTTACCTAAAATCATATTGTCTCTTGTTTAACGCTTAGGTAAATTCTTTTCAGACTTTAGTGCTCTCCTCCTCCCCTCTCCTCTTTCAGTGCATTTGTGCAACTTTACCTTGCATTCTTTTTCCGTTCCTTTTCTTCTGCTTCTTCTTTTTGAGCTGTATTTAGACTTTCAGCATCTGCTAAGTTATCCACAGCAATAGCCAAGAAGACATTTAGCAAGATATCTGTTTCAAATCAAATTAAGGACATTATGTGTTATTATATATTTTTGGTTTATTACCAATGTAAACACTGACACTATGAGAGGCATGAAAACCATGTTTCCAGCCTAAGTGTACACATATGTAATGCTAAAGTGTAGTATGAAAAACACTCACTTAATGATGAGATTAGTACTGAGTGTAAACTAAGCAGAGATCCAGTAAAGTCACCAATTTTAAAATAGATGTATAAAATAAAACCTATTTAAGGAGCCTAGCATGGGCAGAATGAGCATGCACATCCACAGCAACTTAGCCCTAGACAAATTCTGCCCATGTCCTTGGTGTGGTTATGCCCTGGCAGACAACCCCATCTGGAAATGTTTTCATGAGTGCAAAGGATACAGTTACCACAGATGAAGAGGATAATGAAATATATACAGACTATCATTCCTGAGGATGATGGGCCACCATATGCCATGATACCATCATACATAACAGCATTCCAGTCTTCACCTGTTAGAATCTAAGCAATAGAAACATGTATTATTAACAACTCAACAAAAACAACAAAAAAGGATTTTCCTCTGTCAACAATACACAGTAAAGCCGGCCTTTTTATTCAAAAGTAATGCCATAGTCAATTTATTGATATTGGCAAACAGCAGAAGCCTGATTTTAGTAAGGCAACATATCTAGTGATACACCACATTCATCTATCTTGATAACTGTTTTAAGCAGAATAGAACTCAACTGCAGTGAGAGAATTACATGATTTTCTTACTTCCTGTGGCTTCACACAATTTTACCAAAGTCTAAAAGAAGAATTTTCTAAATTTGCTAATCCATTAGAAGAAGGAGAGTTTATATTTGGGCAATTTCACTTTTTTTCCTGTACTACTCTTTTGTACTACTAGGATTCTGAATATTACAACTTATAAGATATAGAGATATAGTTATAAGTTATAGAGATACTCCATATACTTCTAAGTAATTTCTTAAAAATCACTAGCTCTACCTTGGCTAAACATGTCATAGTAACTATCCTTCCAAGTAATTACATAGCTGATCAAGAAAACCATAGGCATGTCATGTTCCGAAGTTCATCCCTAGAGATCTAAACTTATCATCCGATTTTCATAGCTGCTGGGTACCCAGCAGGTCGTTCCAGAGCATATTCTGAAGACAAAGGAAATTTTCTCTGAAAAATCAGCTGATATAAAACTGTACCACCTTCGTGTCTTAAAAGGGCAATTTGAGGTCTAATGTGGTTACTTTTCTTCTTAAGGAAGTTTGCTCATGTTAAAATGAGAGGAAAGATTTTTTGCTTGTTCCACAAGTCACCAGATAAAAATGATATGGAGATGATGGGAAGCTGACAGAGTCAAGTCTTGCAAGGTCAGCTCCAAACACACACCCACAACGTCTGAAACCAAATATTGTGGCAATGTGCAATGCCTGCGAAGCTGAACATGAACATGACTACAAAGATAAACTGATCAGCTTGATTCCGGTGTCCAAACTGAGAAGGTTAAAAAAAGGAAAAAAAAACATGAAATAGTGAAAACTGCAAGCATGGCTCTGATTCTAATAATCTTTTCAAAAGAAATAGAGATGTTTTCAAACATTAAACCTGAGAGTGTGTCTTTAAGATATTTACACTTATTTTATGGTACAGTAAGTGATATGACCACATGTAATTATGGACTCTGAGCGCTTCGCAGTTTTTCCTGCTTAGGAATAGCTGAACTTTTAGATAGTTAATGAACTTAAAGAAAACATTTCAATTAAAATAAAATAACATTCCACCTCCTTGATGGACAAAGAATTAATTTAATGAAATAATATGACAGCTATGTGGCATAGATAGATCAAATAAGACATGAAACAAATGGTACAAATGGTGTGGAATTACCAGAGTACTAAATTTTATGAGCAGAATGCTACTTAAATGTAAATTGAAAAGAGTATTTGTGATTTTTTTTTCAGGAAACATGATCATTTAAACAGTTTTGTTGATCAAAGGTAAAATGTTTCATAGGGGGTGAAAGAAAGTTACCTGGAATACAGTTAAAAGAGCTTGTGGAAAATTATCGAAGGTGCTCCGTTTTGTTTGAGTTTCATCAAAATTAAATTTGCCTCCAAACAGCTGCATTCCAAGCAACGAGAAGATTATGATGAAGAGGAAAAGCAGAAGCAACAGTGAAGCAATGGACTTCATTGAGTTTAACAAGGATGCTACCAAGTTGCTCAGGGATGCCCAGTGCCTATAAATTAAAATGCGTGTGTTAGCACACACACACACACACACACACACACACAAAAAAAAGAAAAGAAAAAAAAAAAAGAAAAATAACAGTAAAAGAGCAGTGCGTGATGAAGTATTACAAAAGAATTGCTGATCACCATTCAACTATCCTTAAAATCAGCAGTATTAATCTTACCTTGTTACTTTAAAAATACGCAGGAGACGAACACAGCGAAACACCGAAATTCCAAGGGGTGACATAATTTCCAATTCCACCAGAATGGTTTCAACAATGCCACCACAAACAACGAAGCAATCAAAGCGGTTAAAAAGAGATACAAAATAAGCCTGCAGGCCCAAGCTGTACATCTTTACTAACATTTCACAGGTGAATAACGCCAGGAGAACTTTATTTGCAATATCTGAAACACAATATTAAAAAAAAAAATGATATTTTTGAATTGGCCTACAGACTCCATTTTCCCTTTAACAGACTATTTCTACACTTTTGCCTGGGAGGGAAGTAAATCCTGCTTCTTTGGGCAGTAATTTTGAAGCAAGGATTTACATTTCTTTGCAGCCTCCTGCCACCTAAAAACTGTGCATCTTTCCAATTTATTGTACGGTATGTTCACAGCTCAAGTCCACACTGGATCTCAAGCAATACAGCCCACAGTATATTCTGCTGTGCCAGTTACTATTCCTTTTCCCATCCTTCAAGCATGGTTAAATGACAAAAGTACAGGTATTTATAATCTAGCATTGTCAGATTTTTGCTAGTATGTCATTAAGCTCTGTTACAGTTGGGGAAACATAATGTGTTCAGTCATTTTTTGCATCTCTCTGGCTAAATATGCTTTAGGACAGCAACAAATAAACAAACGGCAAAGTGTAAAAGTCGGAATTGATGGAATGTAACCACCATAGTTAAGAACAGGACAAATAAATTTTGATCATACCTTGGATTTGGGTCAGCCAGTCAGGTTGATTATAATGCTCTGATGAGATAGTTAATGTGTTCAGAAAGACCAAGACAATAACAAGCCAATAAAAAGTGACAGACTTTACTGCAGCTCTACATTTTCTTCGATTAAATCGATTCCAGCGACGCCAGCGTCGACTGAAAGTTCAAGTAAGAATAAATGTATTAGCATGTAGAAAATGTGCATCAACTTGGAAAGGGCTTCTTCTATGCAGAAAATATAGTGCAAATACATATGCATGCGTGGGTGTATTTACATAAATATGTACACAACACTTACACAAACCGCAGATTAAGGGGCATTCATTTCTTCATTTTCTATATTTGATTAAATCAAGCTACAACTGTTGGGAGACTCAAATTGCCTGTGACATGACTAGATTAGGTAGTACTCAGCACAACGTTGAGCAACAAGATAAACTTGCCTTCCCAGGCCCCATACAATTAACAGCCATAAAAAAAAGCCCAAAAAGCACTGTGATCTGAATTTAGATTAAATTTGATTGGAATGATCGGAATTTAGATTACATTTAACCTGTAATAACCTGTTGGCCACAGGTTAATTCATGGACACAATAAGGGTAAGATTAAAGAAGGCAGAAATGTTGAAGTGAACTTTTCTAAATCTACCCCATAATGTTAGAAGTATCATACAGTGACTCCTAAAGGTTTCTACTGATACGCCTTGAAATAGTATCACTGGACAGGCATTTGTGAGATGACAATCAAGGATGAGAAAATAGTCCCTATCTAGTTATGAGTTAGATTCATAGAGAGGACAATAACTCGGCTCTCATAAAACTGGATCAAATTTCTACTCCATCCCTGGGAACTTTGGGAAACCAGCTAGTCTCCTTGGGCTGTATTTCCATTTGTGAACTCTTTTGCTGGCTCATAGGAAGCGGAGAACTAGGAAGTACTAGATGTTACCCAAACAGTGGGAAAGAGGGACCCAATCCAGTAAAAAAAAACAAAACAAAACAAAAACAAATAGCAATTACATGCGATCATCATGATATGTAAATAGTAACATGCAAAAGTAATGAAAAGAGACAGGAAAATACTGACCTGAACTTGGATTTTGAGATAGTTTGACTAAAAAAAATAAATAAATAAATAAACCACATTTTTAGAAAATACACTGAAAAAATAATGAACACAAATTCGTACTCTTTAGAAAAATGCAACTGAAAACACACTAGAATTATTCAAAGCTTATGCATAAAAATGAACTTGCAACAAAAACCTTGAAGAATTGTGACTGCATTTGTAATATTTTCTCTAATACCATTCCAAAGCCTTGTACATTTTCCAAGTGAAACAAAACAAAAACCATAAAGCCAAGCCTGATGCTAAATAAATTGCTCATGTAGAAGCTACTTGGAAGCCATGAAAATTTAAACAATTGAATGGTTAATAATGTGGAATCACAGAAATACTCGCATTCATTCAGTTATTGCTAACAAAATATGTATTCTTCAGAGCAGGCATAAATATGTCATAGGTGACTTCTGTATTTTTCTTTATTACATATCACATACTACAAAAGCTTTCAGTAAAATAGGATCCAACTGTAAAGTTGGTGGCATTTATGTCCATCTACCTTAATTGAAATTTTATTTCAGTGTTAATGTAATAGTGAAATTTTGATGTGCGTTAATACTGTATAATTATCGGTCTAATATAAAAGTAACAAAGGCAAATACCATAGGTCACACAATGTCTTTTTGTGTGATTATTTGAAATTGAGTCGTTTTTTTCACTATTTGAAAGCAATTTCGGCTCAAAAAGCAATGGGCTAATTCCCTTTTATTTGGAAATGCTGAGAGCAGGTGGGTGCAGTCTTTCAGGCTGCCCGTACTCACCACAAGCTCCCGCAGCAGGCGGGGTTCTCTCCTTCCCCACTCACGTTCTCGGTGTTCACTGACTCCGTCTCGCTGGTGGGCATGCTTGCTGTGGGGAGAGAGGAACCGCTTTAGACTGAGCGCTCAGCACAGCGAGGGACCGCAATCTGCTCTCCCATTCTATTACCAAAACGCCTCCAATTTGTGCAGATCTAATGAGTACTTTGAAGGGCTGAAGAATATGAAAGGTGAAAAGATCCTTCATCAGTCTGCCTCTTATAACAAAAGAAGCACAATTCCAGAACGTATTACAGGTTTCTTTTTTTTTTTTTTTTTTTCCATTTTGCTTTAATGATTCAACATAACTGTTGAAAACGTACTGCAGAAAAGGCACTTCTACAGAACATAATATAGAGGAATTTCATAACAAAAAGCATGCTGTCCCTAATCAAGATGGATTTTAGACCTCTTTTATAGGACTTTCATTAACACTTTTGAGGCGCTTATTAGTCTAAGTTGTCTCACTAGTATGCCTGCCGATTCCCCAAAATGCCACCAAAGTTCCTCTGAAAGCAGGCACTATCATACTCTGATCATACTGAACACTCTATGCTTCTCTTACCATTACAAAACATTGAGGCTAGGAAGTAATTTTGCAGGCCCATATTGTAGGAGTAAACAGAAAGTAGCACTAGGAATGAGAGTAGGTAGTATAAATGAGGATAATGAGGATTACTAATAACAACAAGGGGACTACTGCATTTTTTTACATATCAGGGAATTACTGTACATAGGGTGGAATAAAAGCTGAACAGTTAGCAATTGTGGCTAATGGTTTGTTACACAGAACTCATTTGCACATTGGCCTTTTTTTGTCTCCAGATCAACTGAAACACACAGAAGGACATCTTGTCAAAAGGTGTTAGGAAAGTATGAACAGACTTCTCAGCACTTTCTGGGGAGAATAATTCCATGTCTGCAAAGCATGAAAGGAAAATCATGCTAAAAAATAAACAAAAAAAAATACAGTTCGCTGTTGGTTTTATATAAGAAATATTATATAAAATAGGATAAGGAAGATGAAGAATGTGCACCAAGAGCGTAAGTGAAATAGAGTATCTTAAAGGGATGTTCAGGGATGTACATGCTACTGCTTTGGTTTAGTTTTTTTAAGTTCCTGTGTCTAGAATGACAGCACTGAAGGCTGAAGGGCTATATGCTCATTTTTACTTCTGCTTTCTACTGTGGTAGCCTAAATGAGCCTTAAAGTAGACTTAATCACACACACCATATAAGTGAAAATCAGGCCCTGAATTTTCTGACTTCTTTATCTATGGGTCAGGTACAAAATGAAACCTGAGGGTAACAGCTTCTCCCCACAACCTGTATATTGCCTCTATACTGATCTAGAGATGCAAATAAGCATTAAGTGGTAGTTCGGTTTCCTTGCCCATTAATTCCCCACCGAATGCCAGCAGACCGATAGTTCTGTGCAGGCCAGATGCCCAGCTGGGATTTGCAAAAAGCTGAGAATCTGTCCCCACAAATGTAAGTCTGCATGACGTGAAATTTCAAACACAGAATTGGCATAACAGAGAGAAGATGCAAGATCCAAGATGGCCATGCAGGTAGTTACATAAAACAAGGCAGTCCAGGCAGTAAGCACAGCAAAACCTTCATTCACAGTGTTCTTTTTCATTATTATTCTTTTAAAACAATACTATAGTTGCTTTATTCTGAGATTGCTGGTTAGCACCTGCAAGTACCTTAACTAGAGTATCAATCTTCTCTTTATAAACCCAAATGAAAAGAATGAACACTGCTAGCCTTTTGCGAACTTGATAGTTTGCAAGCAGATTTCAAAAGGCATTTTATTTTAATGCTTATCATTAAAGCAAGCAGTCTTTGCTAATATCCAAATCCAAGAATGAGAATTCTAAAAGCTTAAGAAAAAAATGACAGAACGATTTTACACAGTGTCTCAGATCTTCAGAATTAATACATTTTACTTAAAAATGAAAGGGTCTTTTGCAATGAAAGCAATTGTTTTGCCTCTCTGAAAAAAAAAGAGTAGAGAAGCGTAGAGAGGCGAAAATGTTTCTCTTGTCTTTTTTGAATTGCATGCAGATAGGAAACAACAATATAGCCACCTATCAATGAACTCCCCCCCACACACACACATCGGCAACTCTAAAATACAAGACCAGAGGTCTCCTTTTGTACATTATTAGCTACTGCTACATGAACACAGAAGTATGCCCATTCCTACAAGGAAGTATTGCATATGCAAAGTGTTGCACTTGTGAAATCAATCCTCCCCTAGTCTAAAAGCAGTATCTAAAATTCAATTCCTCATAAAGCGTGACTCAATATCATATAAGTGTTATTTGCTTTTAATAAATGCCAAATAATTTAAGTGTAGTGAAATATTGTTTTAATTCAAACCCACCCAGACTTCATGACTTAATCTAAAATAAGAAAGATCAGCCCTTTTGAGCATGACTGTATTAAGGAAAAACAAAGTACCAAATCAAAGGAATTTTATTCATGAGGCCAATGTTACTATTGTTAATTATTAAACACAGTCAGAATGTCACCCTCTATTTCATACCGCTGGACTGCTGCTCTAGTTGTGCTAGTGACTTGCAAGTACTCCAGAACCATTAAAAGTTCATTTTAAATTAGAAATCCATCTATTTTATACTGTAATTTATATACCAATAGAAAACTTGACAGAAATACTGTGAACATGAGAAAGTCTAGCTCCATGCTAGTAAATTATCAGCCAGAAAAGAACAGGCACAGCACTGCACCACATCCACGCCAGCTAATGCAAGCACTTGACAAGCTTTGAAATGACTCAGAACTAACAAATTTTAATACGCAACTTTTTAAGGCAAAATATATCACATACAATGAATTTCTGAAAAAAACATCTGATCTCAATATGACAAGTGTTAAGATTGTTAAACTGGTGCTCCAGTATTCAGAGATAGATATCAGTATACAAATCTCAAATTAAAATTATCTTTATTCTTCTCTTTCCCCTTGTTTTTCTGGTGGTATTCTGGAAAGATTATCTACGAACCCATATAATATCAACCTCACTTCAAATTTGTTTTAAAAGAAAAAATGCTTGCATTAGCAATATAAACAAGACACATGCAACTTGATACTTTCCTGAGTATCTATTAATTAGGTCGAGTTCACTGGCTACTGTCAGGTGCCTGACTGCTACTAAGCTTCAGGTTGTAGCACCTTCTTCAGGAAAGCTGACTGCTCCAGTTGTGTTGTTACATATGGGATTTTCAACAGTGTTCTTTTCTAATAGCACTTTAATAAGTTACTATTTCTTTCATTTTTCTAAAAAAGAATATTTTAAGGCCAAACTTATTTTGTTGACCTAATATTTTTGACTGACCACGTGTGGGCAATTTACATCATTCAGAATTGAAGCATCTTGTAACTCAGCAATTTTCTGGACAGCCTTCCAATACCCGCATATCTCCTAATTTCTTACATTAAGAAATGCTGTTCAAAGCATGGGTGAATTGGTCAAGAAGAGCTACTTGCTTGATGGAGGTGTAATGTTGCTATGCTTGTCAGTTCAGGGCCATCTCTTCATTACCTCTTTCCTGCCTTTGAAGGTAATGGATGTTAAAAATCAGAAAGAATTTCAAATGAAGCATTGTATTTATGATGATAAGACTTTTTTCATGAAAAAATATTCGATCTTTAAGCTGCTTTCAGCTTTTGGAGTGGGAATCTCAAACTCCCATCCACAACAAAATAGTGCCTAACAGAGTAGGACAGTGTCCATCAGAACTGATATATCTAAGCTGGCTGGAGGCAGAAAAATGAAATCCAAATCTTCCTACTATGTGACAGTTTAGGGTCACTATGGAACTATGACTAAACTACAGTCTTAATCACTAAGTCTGGTCATATATATTTTTGTTGCAAATGTTCTCCTCTAGAAAACATATCATTTTTATTTTACTCTGTTTCAACATCACTTATGTATTCTTCATCTGTCAGCTAACCTAATTTCCACACTGACGTGCCATGCTGGTAGCTGACTAGTGATTATGTGCTAAATGAAAGAACCTGCACAAGTGCAGTGATTGCAATGATCTGTACATATAATACAGAGTGGTAATAGCTACCTGAGAGTGATTTAACTATGATGCTATACTGGCATCCTTGTATATTTTGCAAACGGCCTTCTTTTGTCCTCTACTAATGTACAGTTACTTCTATGAGCTACAAAATTCTTTCTCAGTTCAGTACATTGATTTTCTGAAATCTGTACACAGATCTTGTGAGTAGTCAGATAAGAAAGCATAATAAAAAGATACACAATCCTCAATATTTTCATTACAAATTCATCACACATTTTCTTAAATGTGATGTATCTCCAGAAAATACACATCAGGAAGAAGTGGTTCTATCTACACTGACTGTGAAGCTCTTCAGGATGAATTCAATTCAAGGGGAAGCTGCTTAGAAGGAAATATTCCACATGATATTCCATCTAGGCATCTGTTTAAACAGCGCAGACTTAATTTTGATCCTATCAGCACTCATTCTACTTTTTTACTGGTATCCCACGGAAATTCAAGATACAGTCGAACAGGCTTGGCTGCACAGCAGTGGATGTAGCATGAAATAATCAGTTCTCCTTGCAAAAACATCACTGAAGCAACAGCTTCTAGCTTGAAGGATAACATTATAAATCTTAGGAATGTTGTATAGCCATTAATATGGACAGTTCTTTCTTATATGGAACTGGCTTAGAAAAGTTCTTCCTGCACGTAGGAAAAGCAATTTGCTTTTTTTTTTTTTTTGATATAGAAATAAAGATACAGATAATATGAAGCTGGATGGGACTTCTAAGGACATCCCATGTCAAACAAAGTTTACACTACTCAGATCAGCAATAATAGTCTCAACAAACACAGAAAAAGTATTAGGCTTACACCGATGTGTAGTCTGGAAAAAATCCAACTCACCAAATGGATGCCTGCGCTGCAAGACACAGGTGAAACTGTAGAGTAGGGCACATGTGCCTCTGAATAGACTTTTAAAAATCAAGGGCAGGTTTTGGCAGCAAGACAGCCTGCAGATATTTAAGCAGCAAGTACTCTGCTGGGCTCCACACTACTTCACAGCTCTCATTAGAACCAGAACCTGATTGTTTAAAGGCTGTGTTGAGATAGAAGTAGTACCTAATGCAAAACTGCTAGCACTGTCTTTCAGCAATTTGTATGGAAGAAAAAATCTGGTCTATAAAGCTGTGCAAGCCATTAGACAATATATGCAATAAGTACACTAGCAATTTTAAGCAGACTCAATATTTGTGGAAAATCAGACCGCCAGACAATATCAGTTGCCATATTTCTGATGTAATGTTTTGCATTCTCTAAAATAACTGGGTCAGATTCAGCCTCAGTCAGTCTTTTATCTGCTATTTAACAGAAGTGATTGTCTCACTACAGCGTGCCAGTCAGTTGCTCCGATAATTCTGTTGTAGGAAGGTTTAAAACTAGATCTCCTAATTGCTACAACTGTGATTTTGTCAGATCTATGTTTGTCATTATTAAAGGCTGCAGATTTGAAAATAATTTCCTCATCCTAAAAGCTCTGTCCATTCCCATTGTGGATGACAGAGAATCACAAATCGAAAACTATCAATTTAAGAAAAAAAAAAGCAGATGCACAAGAAGCTTATTTCTTTTGTTAGATTCTACATGAAAGATGTAATCAAAACAATAAATAATATATTCATGCTGTTCTAACTTAACACTATGATCAGCTACATAGCTTGCGAAGCACTGAAGTGGACTTCTTCCGTTGAATTTGAGACACGGTTGCAGATCTGTTTCACCTGAATAGGAAAATCTACACTTAAACAAGAACAGTCACAAAGATAATTCAGTGAAAATCTAAATCAATTAAGCAAGTAGAGCACTGCACAGTCTATATGAAACATGCACTTGCAGCAGAAAAACTGCATGCATTACTGTTTACATGCTACAGACGTTTATAACTCTATTTTAGAAAATGCATACAATATGTGCTTTCAAAAGCTTACATATCAGATGCATTATTGGTAGAGAAGTTCAACTGCAAATCAGGACATGTTTTACCATGTTTATTGGAAGAACGGCCAAAGCAGCTAAACCTGCTTTTCTTCTTTTCTTCCATTAAGTCAGCCAATGTAACCCCTTCGTGTTAAGTACATGTAATCCCAGCATTTACACAGGAGATGGCAGCAGTTACAATGCGAAAAATAAAAGTGTCCATATACACAACACAAGCAACGTTAGGTGAAACAAATTGAAATTACCAGCAACATAATCAGAACTAATAAATCTTTCATCTCTCACATTGATTTCTGCATTCTGAACTAACTTCTCATGTCTTTTAAGTCAAAGAAGTTTTTCAATTATTTCAAGGGAAAAGAGCTGCTAATAGTAAAGACAACGGCTTACGATTTTTAGTAGAGTCATGTCTGTAATTCTAGGTTAAAAGGTTCAGCATTCTCTGCCGACCAGCAGCAATATGAACATGCAAATACATGAATTACATATATAAATTATCTAGTTTAGTGGCAGTGGAGTTCTTTAGTTAGAATGTCTAAAATGCTGAGGACACGGGAACTTAAACTACATTTTTAAAGATCATGTAAGAAAGCAATAATTACTAACTTAGTTACCTTTAAAATCTGTACCTTTTCTTGCCATAGTGAGAAGAATATTTTATATCTTAAAGCTGGACCTCTTGCATATCAAGAATTATCTTTCATCCTCATAATCATCTGCAAGCTTGACTTTCCACAGCTTTAGATATTAAAAGTAGGGTCATTGCTGTTTAGCAGCTGGCATCTGCTTATCTTTCCTGTCTTTGGACCCAGACCACCTACTTTATGAATCAAACACAATCCTAAAAAAATATTATTAGTGTATTTGGAGAAAAAAAAGTCTTTCTTAAGTTTACTAATCTGGTGCTAGCTAAACTTCACCTGCCTCCCAAATGAGCAGTTCATTATCAGAACTGCCCTCCCAACCCAAAAGCTTTTTGTGGAATAACTGCATAGAGCGCTTGTGCTCTCTCTCATCACAGCTCCTTTTGCCCTGCGACAGGCAGAAGAGCACTTTCTTGAATGCAAGCAGCTGGAGCAATTGAGCAACCCTTCCTCTGTTAGACCCTGTTGCAGGTCACATTAACAATGAAATTCCATGCAACATTTTTAAGCACATGTGCAAGAGCCTAGAGCCATGCCAGGAGATTGTCTGTTCATTCAAAACTGCAGCTCAACATACATGTGTGTGCTTGCTCAGCGCCGAGAGAACACTGGCCAACGGATAGACCACGGTAACAAAGCAGTGAGCTTGTGCAAAGCGTGTCAGGAAACCTCTGTGATTCAGTCAGAGGACACCTGGTTTCTACAAGGTAGCTGAAAAGTGCAACTTTCAATCCATCCCAGAAAGTCACATGTGCAGTGCCTGCTTTGCACAGGAAAACTGATTTGCAAGAAACAGATCACCAAATCTTGAGTCTCTGAGGATCTAGTATATTGATACCTTCATCACTCTCGTTTTTTTCGCTCATTTTTCTTCTTAGGACAACATCTACAATGCTAGCAGAGCTAGGGAGGTAGGATTTCCACCAGGTCTGTCAGCTTTCCCTATACTCTCTATTGCTAGCGTAGTGCAAATCAACTACTTGATAGTCAATGTATTATGGCTTGAAAGATTTAACTACACATTAAGTGTTCATTAGAGTCTACTACACTGATTTAAACCACATCTACCATTTCTTGGCATTTCTCATGTTAATGAATTGGTTTTGATACTGGATGTTTAAAATAGAAACAGTGATCTAAAATACAATTACGTATTTGCCTATTATTTGTTTTAATTATATTCTCTAGCCTATTGTCACTCTCAAAGTATCCCCGATATGATATCTAAAAAGACAAAAACTTTCTGACATTCAGTCACTATGCAAACAAGTATTTTGGATTCTTAAAAGACCTACACAAACTAGGAGCTATTCAAGGAGCGCTAGGGCAAAAGGTTCTGTGCAACACATTTAACAACCTGCAGTATGCACAGAATGCAAAAAATCCATGGGATTACAGCTGCAGACTTGCAAACCAACTCCCTAAGCACTGCAGGTTGTCTAATGCTTTGTCTAGCCTGGCATCAACTACAGCCCTGTTTGTCTTTCAATCAGTAACACAGATTCTGCTCCTATTTATATTGTGAGCTAAAAGGGTAAATTTCTGAAACTTAAAGCTAAGACTTTCAATAAACAGATACAATAAAGACATGACTCTAAAAACAGCTCAGTGTCAAACCACGTAATTTTTACTAGCTTTTAAAATTGTTATTATGCCTAGATATCACTTTTAATTGCAATATTGATACTGATGCTCAGTATCTTCAATAGTCAATATTTAAACTTCTCATAAGTATATTGATTAAATGAACGATTTATCACAATCAAGTAACATCACTAATGCAATAAAAAATGATTAATTATTTTGGCAGACAAAATGATGTTCTAGTCTGCCTTTGATAAACTACTTGTAGATACATTCTATAACGCTATCTATTTGTATAAGCACCACTACCTTTTAGCCTAACCACCTGAATAACAAGATGCTACTCAACATTAGCATGCATATTGAAATCTGGACGTTAATTTTTCCTTAGTATTAAATCATAATACACATTGTGAATCTATGCTATCATTCACATATACAGAATGACAAAACAGTTCACAGGAAAATTTTAAACGCTTCTATGTAAACACAGATAAAATGTTCAAATTCATCTACTAAATTATCATATAGAAATACTGCTGGTTACTTGAAATTTCTGACATACAGAAGCCAGGTGTAATATCATGAAATTAATTTGTTCTTTTGTTTAAGCCTCTGTTCAGAAGCCCCAGAGGCCCATTATTGAATAAATTGCCTTTCCCTTAACACAATGTATATTAGTCATAAATAAAAGTGACAATGGCATCTCTTACTGCTGACTAGAAGTCCCAAAAAGTTTCATGTATTTCACATTCAATTCATATGTATATATAATAAGAAGAATAATAACTTTTCATAGTTCTCTTGCATAGTAGAACGAAAGAAAGATCTATAATGTTATTTGCTTGTTTAAAAACTCATGACAGTGCTATCAGCATAAGCATATTTCTTGACTGGAATTTAGAATGCTTTTAATGGATATTTATAACTTATTAATTTCTAGGCAAATAAACATTCTCCTTCATCAAGGAAAGTTTAGACTTGAGATGTCATTTAGTGCTACATAGTTGGAATGCAATAACTTTTTAAAGAATAAAAATAAGAGTAAATGTTTAAATCTTTAGTGATTTATATCAGAAAATAATTTTCTCCAGGCAATGATTTGTACATTGACAACTCAGCAGAATTTAGTTGTATGATTCTAAATCGTCTTCCATGACTGTAAGCAACAGTAGATAAACCGAGGTTCTGGTTGCTCTGGTAACAAACACTTTTTGCATCCTGAAAATCAGACAGGCTTCATAATCCCCTAGTGTAATTTCCTTAAAAGCAGCCAAACTGTCCCCCATAGAAGTAGCACAGAGTAAAGAATACGTACTGTTCCGTTTGCCTTCTTCATCAACCTCTTCATCATTCTCAGGGTCAATGTCTTCTGCCTGTGTAATCCAATCTAAATATCCCTTCAGATCTTCTTCAAGCTGCTGCTTTTCACGTAGCTTTTGAAAGTCCCCTCGGGCTTTGGCTTTTTCTCTTTCCTTGGAAAATTCTCTATCAAATTCAGATAAAGCAGATAAAACACTGGTTGTGAGACCACCAGACATTTTGACCTAGGTTTTCACATTGCACTAATGTAGAAAAATGAACTAAAGAAACTACACAGAAGATTTGAGAGTCTGAGAACAAGACAGGGGTGCAGAGAAGCCACGGCAAACTCCTACCATATATATCAAAACTTTCAAAGCTTTTACAACTTAATTGAATGTTAACCAGACTCTGGACTTTTCCCACACAATTTATATGCCAGCATTTGGTTATGTGCTCCTAATTGATTTTAATATCATCTTGTCTAATGGTTATAAAAAGAAGCTGGCTTGTAAGAATGTAATGAAATCAAGTATTTTCAGAGAGCTTATGCTGAGCATGGCTTTCAATGCAAAGGAGATTCTGGCAACCAGTTCTAAAGGCTTCCTTCCTCTTCCAAGTGTGGCTTACTGTCCATGTCCAAAAATACATATTTCAGTGCATGGTCCACACAACTTCATTAAAACCTTCAACACCTGTGCTGGTTAAGATCTGATATTTTGTCCTTTTTCTCTACAACTGAACCAAAAAATCCTGCTGCTCACATATCAGTTTTTTTTTTTCCCTTTTTCCTTCTTTATATTTTAAACAAACTGAATGCCCTATCTGCTTTCCCACTTCAAGACAAATGAGGTATTTGACCTTCTTGACTTTTCTAAAATACTACCCTGCTATGAACTTAATTTCTGAAATTTAGTAGTATTTATTTCATTGTCCAGAAACTGAAAAAAATAGATAATCCAAGCTAACTAGTAGTTGTATAAGGAAGTACCACTCCAATATTCTCATACCAGGAAAGTTATTTTAATTTTCTCTTTTAATTATTACAAAAAGATAATTATCAATAACATCTTCTAAAGTTACAGAGAGTGAGTAGGCACTATGAAAATGGTCAAATGAAGCTTTTCTGCTAATTCTTTGAAATCCTTTTGTTAGCCTAGGAAGAAATCTATTAAGACTATTAAGGAACTTGCATTATTTGAAGCTTTTATGACATTAAAAAGTATAATCAAGCAAGCATATATATACCTATCCCAAACCTGTATCAGAATTCAACTCTGTATTAAGAGATGTAGGATCTGTTTTGCCCTCATCTCACTTCACTGCCTGGTCTCTCAAAATATTTACTGAACTCCCTGAGAGGGCAAGCATTGTTGCCGGTTTCAAAACTTAAACATATTTAAAAGAGAATAAGACAGAAAACAGAATTAAAAGAAAAAAAAATAGAGCTAAAGCAGGAAGTAAACAAGTGACAAATTAAAAAGACTCAGACAAATAATATGGCACAGATATTCCGCACTCAGGCTCAAAGCCCTCCTATTTATAGTATATTTTATGAACATGACCCTTCTATATATTTGTGAATCCTCAATGCTTAGGCTGCATTTTTTTCAAACTTATTTATTTGAAAATTATCACCAGTCAAGCATGGCACAAAAACTTCTGTTTATACGTTTATACTTGCAGACCCACCCTTCCTCTAACTGACGGCGCTCCGGTTCAGGTTCTCTCCTACGACTAGTGTAGGCTGAGACTGCAATGGCCTCTCTGAACGTGCACTCTGAAGTGCTGGAGCACCTTTCACTCTCTTCATTTACATACCTCTTCTGAGAGGCACCTAAAGCAGTACAGAGAGCTATTCCATACTCTCTACTACCCATATCTTCAATCTTGCTCTGCAGAATAATTCACTGGTGTGAGTCTGCTCAAAAACCCTTCCTCCAAATATCTTTTCTCTGAAAAATAGCAACTCAGATGGTAATCTCCCTGATAGGCTGTTATCATATTCCTGTATTGATATGAAAATTTGCTTTTTTCTTTTCAGAGCAAATCTTAGTTACACTTGGTAGTCTAGATTTGTTTTTTAAAACTAACTGCTGTTATTATCTTGTTTAACTTTCCATAAGGCTGAAATTAAACAACAACAAAAAAAAGGAGCTACAGAAATTCCTTTTACTATGAATTTGATAACTATTTCCTGTAAACATTCACTTGAAAACATTCCCTGATTAATATACTGCCAGGGGAAAAATTATTAAAGCACTAAAGATAATACACTATTTCTAATATAAGAAGATATTAGGAAATCAGGGGACTCAAAAGTGTAAAATTTTGGAAAATATTTTAACCAAGTGAACACAATCATCATTGTGATGGTGCACTAATAATGGAATATAACAGAATAATGAAAAGTCAGATAATTGTTCAACATACTATTTCACTTGCGTGATAGAAATTACTTATCTGGAACAGCATACAAAAAAACTTCTCTAAATTTTGAGATGTTCATCTTACTTCCATCTTCAAAAGTCTGTCTTCTAAACACTGAATTTCTGCTTTGACATTAGTAAATTTAAAAATTAATCTCTTTTTACATGCAACCATTCAGGCCTGTTTTTAATGTTCTGTTATAGAATTCAACAACTTATGTTGCAAAGTCTAAGAGGCAGACACCGCACCTTTTCTTATTACAGTCTTATTTCAACAAAAATTAAGTTCAACATCCTGTTTTATCTGACAACATCTTCATGAAACTGAAGAATACCAGCTTCAAAATACCAGAATGCTTATATTGTATTTGCTGCCCTTCACCTGCTATCCGAGCACAACGTCCTGCAAAAGGCCATCTCCTTTCACAGAAGGGCTCATGACAGAGTTCAATAGATTTCTGATCTGCTCCATCAGAAACATGAAGAGGGGTTGGTCATTCATGTTTTTTTTGGTAGAAGATGGCATAAGCCTTTAAGAAACTGCTTGCTTTACGGAATACTGGTTTTAGATTTATCTCAGACACAAATTACAAAAAATACTGCCCTTTACATGGAACTGAGGCAACACCTACTAGCTCTCCCGCCACAGGCAATATCTTGGAACAAAAGAACTACCATGGTGTAGTATGAGCTCAGAGGTAACACTCCTCTCTAGCTCTTATTAAGCATTCCT